GTGAGTTTTAAGCCACAGGGTCTGGGACGCGAACCGCGGTCGACTACGTGGGAGTCCAGCAACATAGCCTTTATGCTAACTGCTGGTTCCCCGATATCCACTCTTTCTCAGAGGAGTAAGCCTATCTCCAGGAATTAAAACATTGTTATTACCTGGATGCAATCAGAGACCTGAAGTTAGTAATAAACTCAGATGTGTTTTGTTTTTCTGTCACCTGCAGTGAGAAGACTTCCTTCCTACTATCATATTCGTGATACTCAACAGATGGTGTGGGTCCTGAATGAAAATTCCTTAATAGCAGCTCCTCTTACCAACAACATCAAGCCTGGTAAGTGACAATCTAGGCCTCTGCTACTTTCCGAAGGAGGACTAGCTACTATAGGGTTGGTACTAAGTCTTTACAAGCCTAGCCTTGAACCTCACAAATCTCTAAGCAGCAGCCCATTGTCCAGAGGAAGAGCAAAAAAGGGTAAGGAAACCATACTTATAAATGAGGGTATGAGGCATAGGCAGTTCCCCTTGCCTATAAATACATATATATATATATACCCTCAGATTCAAAGCATTCTTTCTAAGCAACAGCTGATCTTGCAGTTTCCTTCCTTTAACTGCTAGCCTTCACTACCTACGTTCTCAGACTCAACTCCCTTCATCTTCCTACCAACAAACCAAAACACCTTCTCCCTTGGTATCCATAATGGATGATAAGCCTCCCCCCATCAAAAGTCAGTCCATCACAACTTCCTTCCCTTTCTCTAGAATTGCAGTGTTGGATTTAATTACTCTCTTCCCTAAACCCATCTTTAACTGTCTACTGATTCTTTCTACTCTGACACACATGTTACAATCTAGTATATCTAACTACCACTAAAAACTTTCCCTTGACTTCCACCATTTATTTCTACCACTCTTCCATTTGCCATGCCAATTAGAGTCAAACTTCATGGGGAAGTTGGCTATAGAACTTGTCTCTGCTTCATCCTATTCACTTTTACATAGGAACATTCCTACATCTGGACTAATGTTTAAGTTCTTCCAACCAGTTCTTAGATCACCAATAGCATTCTTTTTTATAAAAATTATTTTATTTTATTTATTATTATTATTATTATTTAGTTTGACCAGAGAGAGAAAGTGAGAAATCAAGCTGCCAGGTCCAGTACTCAAACCACAGTCGGCCATGTGGGAGTCCAGTACCTTAACCACCACTCCACCTGCTGGCCCCCACCAATGACCTTCTAATACACAAATCTGAAGGATTAATGTACTTTAAAACACTCCATTATTTCCTTCTGTAAAAACATTCATCCTCCTGTAGTTTCTATTTTGCATTTTCCTTTGTGACTCGACTCTCTCTCTCTGAAATCTCCTAATGATGTGCTTCTCAGAGCTTGTTCTGCCATCATTATACAAGCTGATGAAAGGATGTGAGCTGCTCTCTTGGTCTGATGCTCTATGCTCATACTCCAGCATTCATGCTTCTAATATAGATTTCCTCTCTGCACAAGTGACTCATGTCCTCAGAATCTCCTTTCAGACATCTCTAACTTCTGTATCTCAAATGGAACTATAGTCTACCTTCTTTCTCCAAACTGCTCACAGTCTCTGTTAACAGCGCTAACATCCACTTCATTTGCTGAAGCCAATTATATGGGAGGCATCCTTGATTCCTCCTCTCCCCCACTCTCCATCCAGTCCATTAGCCAAGACAGATGAGTCTATGTGCAAACTATGCTTTATTATCAAGATGATATCATCTCTCACCTGCACCCCTACCATCACTTCCTCACTGCCCTCTCTCCCACTCTATTGGTGGAGCCTCCCATCCATTCTCCATCGAGCATCAAGAGCAATCTTCTGGGACCAGCAAATGGTGTAGTGGTACATTACTGAACTCCCACATAGTTGACCATGGTTTGAATCCCAGACCCAGCAACTTGAACCTCATGCCAGGCACATGTGCGTACATGCCCAAGATCCCAAGAGGAGAATGGAGGAGAAGGGATTGTGGTGTGGCCATCTCCCCAGAGGATAATTTCTTGCTTTCTGTCTCTCTGTCTCTCCAGCGAGTGCATGCCCTATAGCAAAAAATATCTCTCTCTCTAAAAAAAAAGAAAAAAGCAACCTTCTTACCAGATTAGTTGAATATACCTTGCCCATGAATTTGTGTTTTGGGTGCAGGGACAGGAGAACTTAGGCAGACTTCATAGTACTATTCTTTCTAAGCCTTGAACTTAAAACATCTTTTCCACATTGAAACCCTCACATAAACCTTTCCTTTCCTATGACAGTCTCTCTCTAAAACTCCTCCACCACTTCTTCGTATAATACATTTCTCTTCACTTTATGGTTTTGGTTTCCATTCAACTCTCGGAGAGATCTTTCTCAATTCCTCTAGCTGAATTTGGTCTCTTTTCTACTATCCCAATCTTTTGTGACTTCCTCCAAGGCAGGTATTGTAATTTATTGTGGTTTTAGTAATTTCTCTGTTTATCTTTTTCCTGTCATTTTCCCATGAAAGTATGCATTCCATGGAGGTAATGATGATGTCTCTCTTGTCCTCAGTTAAATTCCCCAGTGACCACATAGTGTCTTGTTCTGAGTGGACTAACAGAAAAATCTCTGGTCAATGGATTGATTCCCTGCCCATAAAGCTAGATTAAAAACATCCAAACTCTTAGGAATATTTTTTGATTGTTGTTGTTGTTGCTACTACGGTGTGTGTATTCACATGGACATCCACAAAGACAGAGAGAAGAGAAAGCACTGCTCAGTGGACAGTGCTGTACATTGTCCTCCATTTCCCCATCCCATCATAATTGGGGCAGACACACACACATGCATGTTTTCAACTGCCAGGACTTGGATTTGAAACACAGTCAGTCACATGGGATATGGATCCTTGAACCAACCCACTCCTGTGAATTTCTTGCTTAACCACTTCAGACCAAAAGTAAGTAAGAAAATATACACATAACCATGACTTAAACAGGACAGAGGTTTATTTATTTCTCCTGTAAAGAAGCATGAGTGAGCAGCCCAGGCTGGCTACATGATCCCACCAGAGACCAAGAATGCTGCCTTCTGCCTCCCTTAACAAAAGGTTTCTGGGGAACCAGCAGTTAGCGTAATGGCTATGTCGCTGGACTCCCACGTAGTCGACCGCGGTTCGTGTCCCGAACCCGGTGGCTTCAAACTCACGCCGGGCACGTGTGCGTGCGTGCCCAAGATCCCGAGAGGAGAATGGAGAAGAAGGGATTGCGGCGTGACCATACCCCCTGGGGGGTGATTTCTCACTTTCTGTCTCTATGTCTCTCTCTGTCTGTCTGGCAAGCGCACACCCTATAGCAAAAAAAAATTTTTTTTTAATGAAAAAAATCAAAAAGATGTTCCTATCTGATGACAGCTCTGCCCTGGCTAATTAAGAGAAAGGCATCATATGTTCTTGGGATCTAAAAGTACAGGGGAAGCAGCAGGGTCCTGTCCCCTGGGGTTGAGGCAATGCTGGGAGCAACATAGCCAGCATGTGGGGATAGGCTTGTGACATCCTCGGACAGGACAGTCAGTGGATGTGACTTCTGGACAGAGAGTGACAGGAAGAACTCGAGGGGCCCGTGAGAATGGGCGAAGTCAGATCCCCAGATTCAAAGATGACCAAGGACCTTAAAGGGAGAGTGCATTCCCACCTGTGGCCATGGGCATTCGAAGTCTTTACAATTTACTTTTGAATGAAAGTGTAGCCTTATTTTATACTCACAGGTTATGAAAGCCTGGGCATGTTGCTTTCATGCTTTTTATCATTACTGTTTAGAATAAGGAAAAACAGCTGGTGTCCGTTCCCCCTGAGATACTGAGAACGAGGTCAGCGTGTGCATGAACTGTACATATCAGAATGTTCCGCGTCATCTACCTCCCTTTTTTAAAACCCATCATTTCTACCCTTTGATCATGCCCAAGCTATGCCCCAGGGTTTCCCTGGGCCTGTCAGTGAGACTGAGAGTCCCCATTCTACTGGTTTTGGTCCTCAGCCAGAAACAGAAGGCCCAGGGCAGGTTCCGGGTCTATCATCATGACTTTTCTGTCTTTTTCTTTAGCTGTTAACACAATTTTATTATTAATAATTACAACAGATATGAGTTCCAACATATATTATTAAAATACATACTTAAAAAAAAAGATTTCTGTCATGGTTTGTGTACGCTTGCCAGAGAAAGGGAAAGTGAGAAATCACCCTCTAAGGTGGATGACCAAGCTGCAGTCCCTTCTCCATTCTCCTCTTGGGATTTTGGCACACATGTACACACACCTGGTGTGATACTAGAGCCACTGGGGCTGGGACTTGAACATTGTAGAACTGGCCATGTGAGATCCAGTGCCTTAACCACCATACCACCTGCTGGCCCACACATATCTTTTTGTTATGTGCTTAAGTAAGACACAGGGTTTTTGTTTATTTTTTTGAGAGGTTTTTGCTATAGGGCGCGCACGCTCGCCAGAAAGATAGCAAGAGACAGAGACACAGAAAGCGAGAAATCACCTCCCAGGGGGATGGCCACGCCGCAATCCCTTCTCCTCCATTCTCCTCTCGGGATCTTGGGCACACGCAGGCACACATGCCCAGGGTGAGTTTAAGTCACCGGGTCCAGAACTCGAACCATGGTCAACTACATGGGAGCCCAGCGACACAGCCATTACGCCAACTGCTGGTCCCAGCACAGGGATATTTTGCTCAAGAGTTTCCAGTTCTCTTTCACATTAGCTTTTATAGGAGGCCAGCAGGTGGC